ATCAAGATTTTCTTCATCGATTATGAAGACTACTAAGAGAAATGTGACCTTATAAAAGGACGAAGAGACCGTCCGATGATCGATGGACCACGAGTTAAAAGAGTCGTATACGTAAGCTCGTAAATTTGACCCCCACTATCCCACCCTCTCCCTCTTCCTCTACTTTGATGTATGGACACCCTTTCTACGTAGGTCGTACACGAAGGGACGAGTAAAAGCGAGTGGCTGGCATCTGGGTCGTCTTTAATTATTCGCGAAGCTATTCTGACTTTTGACGAGCGCCCCGGGCGATGGGATTCGATTCCACGTTTGCCCTTTTTCTCCTCGTCGAAACTAAACCTTCGACTTCCTTCCTTCTTTCCTTTTCTTCTTGCCCTTCCTTCGTTATATCTATTACAGGCCAAGCTACGATTCGATGGAAAGAAAAATTTCAACTAAAAATTCGTGATCGATCGATCGCGAGAATTCGATTCGAAAAAATATTTCCCATATAAAAGTTTGAAGGATGTTCAAAGAAGAAGAAAAAGAAGAAGTTAAGAGAAAGAGAGAAAAAGCTTTTCGATCGGTAGTTCGTATAGGTTCTTCCTCGCTTTGGCTAAGGGCTTCGCGAATCGTTTCATTTCTTCCTTCCTTTTTCTTTCCTCTCTCTCTCTCTCTCTCTCTCTTTCTCTCGCTCCCTACCCCCGTACTCTTTTCTCCTATCTATATTCCTTATTTTTCTGTTCTGCTTTATTTTTTTGTCCTTTTCTTTCTTTCTTTCTCGCCCATTCTCCCTCTGGGTCTTACAACAAACTCGAGATACGGAACATCAGGATCGAATAGAGGGCGAGAGACAGTTTTCTCTCGTATATATGCTAAGTGTTTCGCGGTCTTGTCCATTGTTTTCGCGTTGAGACTTTGTGGATTGATTTTATTGCTTCTCCCCCGGCACATCTCTCTCTCTCTCTCTCTCTCTCTCTCTCTCTCTCTCCCCTCCCCCTCTCTTTCTACAATTTCTACTATGTATTCTATATACTCATTCTTGAATTATCGAGAGAGAGAGAGAGAAAGAGAGAGAGAAGGAGGGAGGGAAGGAGGGAGGGAGGAAGAGAAAGAAAAAGAGGAGAAAGAAAACATTAGAAAAGTAAAGAAAACAAAGAGAATCGGTCACGAGTCTTCTAGGACGACGCACGAACGAAGAAACCCGAGGCGGTAAGACGATGATTACAAGAACAGCATGCAATGCCGTTCCACCAAAGCTTTTTTCTCTCTCTTTCTCTTTCTAATTCTCTCTCTCTCTCTCCTCTCTCTCCCCATTTTTCTTTCTTTCTTTTTTTCCCTTTCGATGCACCTCCGTTAGCCGATCAGGTTTTCTTTCCCCTTCTTCGTCCGGCGCACTAATCACGGATACATTCGCGTTATTTATATCGCCGTCCGTTTTATCGATATCCTTGCTTTTGTGCCGTCGCGGTAACGGCACCGGAGCGGAACGCGAGACAGCTGGAGAATACGATCGAACTTCCCCCCTTTTCTCTATTTCTCACATACTTATTTTCGAAAGCACGCGATCCCTATTTAACGCGGACTCACCCGTAGAATAGTCCTTCGAACGTATGATTTATGTAAATCGTGGCTAATTAATCGTAAGCTAAAGAGAAAAAAAGAGAGAGAAAGAGAAAATTCTTCGAAAGTTGCAAATCCCGGAAAACTCCGTAGAAGGATAGCTCGAAACTTTTCTTAACCCATTTACGCTTACTGGGTCGTAAATGACCTTCCTTCCTTTCTTCTTCTGGTCCATGCATCTATCTCCTCGTCAGCCCTCTTCCACTCTCTTATTCTCCGATCCTTTCTTTCGTTCTTTTTCTTTTTTTTTTCTTTTTTCTTTTTTTTTCTATGATCGATTGTCTTCCGAGAACGTGTTATTAATATCGAACGTAAAAGAAACGCTCTGCGAAATCCTTCACTTGGATTTATTTTTCTCAATTCGCCCGTTTAATTTCTCACATGATAAAGAGGCGTCCCTTACAAACAAAAACAAAAAAAAAAAAAAAGAAAAAAAAAGAAGAAGAAGAAAAAAAAATAAAAGGAAAAATAAAGAAAAATGAAGGATAATAAACTTCGAAAGAGAGTTCGAGATAGTCAATCTTGGTTCATCACAGTTGTCCACCTAAACGCATAGTTAGTTAGCCGAGCTGCATCTCAACGGATATGCAGAATTCCCCAGACCTCTCTCTCCCCTCTCATTCCATAGGAATGTACCGATGGAACAGCTACGAGCTGCTCCTCTCTCGGCACCCTCTCTCTCATCCTTCTCTTCTTCTTCGCGTCGTCCTCCTTTCTTTTTCTCTTCTCTTTCTCTCTCGCTCTCTCTCTCTCTCTCTCTCTCTCTCTCTCTCTCTCTCTCTTTCTCTCTCTATCTCGTGCCACCGGTTACGACGGTGTGCCCGAGAAGTGTTAATGCCGTCGTCTCGAACGTGGTTTGGCTTCGGTTGCCAAGCGAATCCGCTGTCACTGGGATTTCGAAAGGCACGTCACACGCTCGCCTTCCTTATATGTTCGTGGCCTTTACTACGGCCCACACGAGAAGAGGTCCTTTGCTGATAATACGAGAAGCCTGAATATGGCAAGATACCGTCTAATAAATTGTTTTCATCTTCGCTTCTTCCTTTTTCTTTTTTTATTTTTGTTCTATATTTTTGTTTTGTTTTTTTTTTTTTTTTTTTTTTTGAAGAACAAATTCTCACACGTTTCTTGAAGTAGATAAGAAATTCTTGGAAGAGATAACGATAAATCATTGATCGAGAGTATAAGATAAAACTTCCAGATGCATGTGTAGGGGTATAGTCAGCGTGCTTCGACCATGAGCTCAACAGCTGTTTATATATCATAAGGCAATATCTATCTCGCTCTCTCATCCATCCATTTAGTTAAAGTAACCTCCTACAGTATATACCGTGGCACTGCACTTTGCGAATCATTTTGTATTTTTGATGGTACCACCTTCCATGAATTCTATATCTCTTTAACTCGCGTGGGTGGCAAATCTTCTTGCGAACTACCAGTAATTATCCTTTCTATCCTTTGGCCGCGTTTCGTTTGTTTACGCGTTATCGCGTATGTATCTTTCTACGTTGGCGTCACATCGGCTACGTCAGGCGTGACGTCACTAAACTGCAATCTACAAGTAGCAAGATGACCGAAAGGGTATATATGTATGTATGCATGTATGCATGCATGCGCGGTGTTGTTTAAAATTTCGTCCACGTCTTGATCGTACGTCGATAGTAAGAATATCTAACTATGCTTTAAGATGAGCAATGTCAAGGCTACCGATACACCTCTTTTACCAATCATTGTCCAGACGAACATTTCTTTAAAGGAAAGAAAGCAAGCATATGAATGGATGGAGTCCGTGGACTACGAATCGATCGACGAAAGAAAAATACGAAAGAGGAAAGGAAAGAAGAAAAAAAGTAAAGGAAAAAAGAAGAAGAATGAAAATGCTGCTCGAACATTTTTCAAAACGTATTCACAGTCGTAAGAAAAGTTTGTGCTCAGCGTAAAAAGACGTATCTCTTCTTAACGGGGGAAGAGGAAGGGACTTGATGCTAATAATCCAAAGTCTATCTATACATATATAAAGTAAAAGAAAAAGAAAAGTCGAGAAATCGGGTAGCAAATAAGCGCGAGCTCGTCAGTCTCGTTGATACTCCATCGCCGTTATTAATAGTTCAATTCGGACCTCCTCTTACTACGCTCCTCGGCGCGAGACTTTTTTTCTTTATTTCTCTCCTCCCCCCACCCACCCACCTCTCTCTCTCCCTCTCTCTCTCTCTTTCTTTCTCTCCCTCTTGCTCTCCTTTTTTTATTGTGAATGGGACCGTAACGAGTCGTCCACCTTAGACCAATTTTTCACGAGCGCTTTTTCTCATCCTACTTCTCCTCTTCGCCCCTCTAACGAGCTCGGCGAGTCTTTTCCAATTTTTATCGAAGAAAAGCCTTAGGAGTCGTCTTTCGCGGAAGACGAGCGTAATCTCTCCTACGGGCTCACTCATCCTATCGACTTTCTCGTATCGAATTCGACGAAACGGCGCATACGTCTACTCGAACGATTATCAACGATTAGCTTTTGAGAAGAGTTATGCGCTTCTTTATCGCGCAGGTGACCGGATACGTTGTTTTTCCTGGATTTGCACGATATACGATTGAAAAATAAATACATTTATCGTTTTCGCGTGAATTCAAGAATGAAAAAAAAAAACTCCCGGAAAAAAAAAAGAAAAAGAAAGAGAACACAGAAAAGAGAAAAGTCAATTTGTATGTGGAGAATACATACATATATACATACATACATACATACATATATATATATATATATATATATATATATATATATATTTGAATAATAAAATATTCGCGTCGATTTAAAGGATAAGTCATTTCCATAATGACGCTCGATTCCTCGAGACAACGTCACCACGCTACTCTTATACGATAGGAAGAGAGAATTTCGAGACGATTACGGACGCGTAGGAGTATCCTATGAGCTCTTGGGCCTCACGTGGGTGGCCTTAAAACGTTCCTTAAAGAAGGTTCGAAACGTTTCGCGAAGCAATATCCTATGAACGAACGAAAGAATGGCCATAATTCTTTTTCCGACGAAAACTTACTCCCAAGAACGTCGACCCGAGAGGAGAGAGAGAGAGAGAGAGAGAGAGAGAGAGAATTAGTTTCTGCGAAGGATATTACAAGGCTTATGAGGACATACCGAACTAAGAGTTAGTTTCTAACAAGATGAGGAAATGGTAACGTCCTCTTGGTATATAACTTATTCCAAAAAAGAGTTACTTTTCAAGTGACTCTTTCATAAATCTACAAATGTCAAGGTAGACACTAAGAGTTTCTTTTTTCCTTTCTTTCTTCTTTTTAAATGCAGAATCTATCTAAGAACGTTCAAGTTTTTAATATGATCAATAAGAAAAAGTAAAATGTCATGGTGGTAGCAAATGAATCGTTTTTACCTCGTTGATGTGCTTGTAGGTTTTGATAAGATCGACGCTGAGCTTCCGCAGGGGTGCCGTGGCTGGATCGCGGAATCTGTGGGGTATCCTGGCCTGCATGGCGTGAATGTCCGCGGGGGTCTCCTGCGGAACCCCACCGGTACCCCCACCACCTCCGCCACCACCACCGCCGCATACCGTTGGGGGCATGGGCTCTTCGGCGACCAATCGCCCGTACAAGGGCGCCCCTCCGGTCCCCGTCCTCCCGCTCACTGAAATCATATACATCGAGAATCAAACGTCGATCGATAGTTCAACGATCGTCGCAAATGCTTTTATATTATTTTATGATCCTTTTTTTTTTTTTTTTGCAAGGCTCGAATTATTTCTTTTTATGTAACGAGCAAAAGAAAAAGATAGTAATATGTAAGGACGAATATACTTGTTTCTTCCGAGAATAATCGATTTTTCAGAAACTTTATAATGCGGCGCTATATAAACGACGATCTTGCCTCGGTAAAAATGAGAAATGCGTTGGAGTTAGAGATAACAATTGTCGCTTCTCTGAAAAGCAATCGAAAGAATCGAGCGGGGAAATGACGATAAGTTCGAAGAAGTCACGTCATAAAGGGGAAGCAACCGCGAGTCTCGCCGAGTCTCACGTGATTACGCACGCGAGTCTTATTAACTCTTCCCCCAATAACCCTTCTTTCTTTCTTTTTTATTTTCCTTTTTCTTTCATACGTTTCTTATCTCGTTATAATATCCGATGGAAAGAGAGAAGTGGAGCTAGACGTTCCGTCCGCTAAATTGACCGATAATTAAGAAGTATCTTGATAAATATATATCAGATCGGTATGGAGTAGAAGTTGGGGACGGCAGTAAGCAGAGTCGTTAATTTTGACGTACGAATCGTCCTCTGGTCTGCCCCACCACTCATCGAAACATTATCGTTATTTTAACGACTCTGTTATACATGTCTCGAACTAGCTTATACGTCGTCTGCTTCGTAAACCAAAACTCTCTTTCTCTCTCTTTCACTCCTCCTCTTTTCTATCCATTTTCATGCACGTCCTTTAAAATTCTATCCTAAATTTCACCAGCGCTCGTATTTTCGATGCTTTTTACACGTGGTAAGTAGCTGCTGGCTTTCTCGTGTAATTAAAAAATAAAATACTTGCGATCTAGTATGAAACGTAAACGCAAATGATGAATAAGATGAAAAGTTATCTATGAATCGATCAAACAAATTTATTTTTTTCTCGCTAAAAGGTTTCTTCATTTTCTTCTCTTACTAAATATCAAAAAAACAAACAAGTCGTTTGGATACCATCTTCCTCTTTCTCTCTCTCTCTCTCTCTCTCTCTCTCTCTCTCTCTCTCTCTCTCTCTCTCTCTCTCACTCTTTCTAACAACGATAGACGTGTAATCGACGATAAAGGTAGACGAGGGTAGGAACAACAAAGCAAGAATCAACTGGTTGTCGCGAACGTCCCTAATTTCCTCAGCATTCGGCACTGCCTTCCTTCCGTCCCCGTCCTTATCATCCTTTCCGTTAAATGGTCCATGGAAGTGGCAATTGGCTAATCGCTCGACACGATTCGTCGTGTGTCCTTGGGCCAAGTAAATAATCAGTAAGAGAGAAAGAGAGATAGAGAGAGTCGACGTCCTGGCGATGCTACTATGGTAAACTTTAACGGGAAAATTGTGGGTGGTCGAGTAAAATTTGCAGACCGTCCCATCCACCCGCTTCCTCTCTCTCTCTCTCTCTCTCTCTCTCTCTCTCTCTCTCTCTCTCTCTCTCTCACTCTCTTTTCTTCCGTAGTTTTTCTCTTCGGCTTTTATCCGAGCTCCTCCGTTGGCCCAGAAGCCAGTCGAGCTTTTTTCTTCCGACGCCTCCACTCTCCTGAAACCACCTCCAGCCCACCCCCCTTATGCTGCTGTTCCAGACCGCTCTACCATCCACCACCGGCACAACCCCCGCCTCCTCAGCCATTTTTACGAGCCACTGCGTATCGGAAAGCGGAGAGGCGCCAGTGGCACGCCGGAGCTCTGTTTGAAATGTAGGCCAGGGTGCGGTTGAATGAAAAAAATATCATTCATTAACACGCTCGAGCAAGGGTTCTCAATCCTACTCTCCTCTATTCTCTCCTTACCACTTTCTCTCTTTCTCTCTCGCTCTCTTTCCGTGCTGGTCTCTCAGGAACAAACCGGCCCAGTGGCATAGAATGACGGCGTCTCGTATCCCATTTGCATGTCTGCGAAACGAGGAAAGAGAGAAAAAGAGAGAGAGAGTTTGTTGCACGAGAGGGAATCGATTGACTAAACGAAAGACAGAAAAGAGAGAGAGAGAGAGAGAGAGAGAGAGAGAGAGAGAGAGAGAGGAAAGCAAGCCCTCGAAAGAACTAAAAGTACGCCGACGCCCTTAAACTGCGAGTCTCCAGACTATTGTCACCCCTATCGAAGCGATTATCTCCTCCAACGAGCTACCACCATCAGCTGCCTAATCTACTGATTAACCCTCGGACGGCAGAAATATTTTCACTGTCGGCCGAGCGAACGAACGAGCGACGGATCATACATACTTGACCCATTAATCGAACGAACCTGTTAACGCGCTCCGGCTTTCGACCGAGGAAAATGCTGATCGAGCGACTTCTCCGATCTCCTGTTTGTCTCTATCTTTTTCTCTCTCTCTCCCCCTCTCTGTCTGACTGTCTCTCTTCCTCGATTGTTACGTACGAAAAAATACTTTGTTCGCCTTTTAAACGAAACTTGAACGATTCGTAATTACAATCATTTTTCTGTCATCATTTTTTTTTTTTTATGAATACATTAAATGACACGAACTGAAGAGAATGTTACATTCTAACGAGATTGAGTGCACTACTACGTACATCGATGAAAAGGAAATTATAACGAATGACTCGGATTAAATGAATAATAAACTTTTTCTTTTTCTTTTTTCAAGTCTCTCTTCGCTTGTTCGCTCGGCCGTTCTCGTGAACAGAGTACGCTGAAAGATCATCGAAGAGAAAAAAAGGATCGAAAGATTCTCCGAAACACTTTGCTTGAACATCTCGCGCGACATTTTTGCAGCTTCGAACGGGTGGCTATTAACTCTTGGCCGGTGGCTCGTCTTCGGCACGCGCCGAAAGTAAAAGCAAAGTTTCGTCGAACGCGCTACGGAGTTCGCGCTCTCGCATTTGTTCCTACCAAAGTTTTCCCGAAGTATAGTTGAAGAGACGTATAGAAGGAGAAGGAAGAGTAGAAGGAGAAGGAAGAGTAGAAGGTGGAGGAGAGAGTAGCGTCGTCTCGACTCGGCATTTCAATCGGAGAGAAACGTATCGACGTTGGACGACGATCGATTTTCACCGCGAAAGAGCATCGTGAGCATGTAGCCATCGGCGTCGTTTCGAAGGATACTCGATAAAGAATGATAGAGATAGAAATAGAGGAAGGGAGGGAGGGAGGGAGGGAGAAGGAGAGAGAGGGAGAAACAGAAAAAAGAATCACCGACGAGAATTACTCGGTTTCCATCGAGTCGGTCCACACACGTGTGCGCACACCTGTACCTGTATAATATATATATATATATATATATATATATATATATATATATATATATATATATATGTATATAATACATGTATAGATCGAACGGCAGACGAGCGTAAAAAATTCAGGATATCGATAGGGACAGGGAGGATTATTCTTTCGGTCGATAGGCGTACGAATGGAATTGGAACGTTTTACGAGCTCGTCGCGGCTATCGAATCGTTATCACCAGTCTCGTTTCTTTCCTAGAACGATCGAAATTTTCGAACTTTCTGCCTCGTAGCAGGATTCCCCTTTTACGATCATTCTCTTAATAAGCTTCTTGATGCAAAGATGCGAAAGACGAAAAGATGCAAATTTTGTCAGTTTGAGAAATAGTGGTACGTACACAGTCGGTCAAAACTATAAACAAAAGTATAAAAGTTGACTGATAATGCGATCTTAATTTGAAACAGTAAATCGTGTGCGAGCAGCGAAGCCATTAATGAGCACGTTCGTACAACGCGAATCCTAACCGCTTGCACCTGGCATCTACGATCGTACGCCGTCTGTCGCAGGCTGCCTCCTTTCTTTCCCCTACCCGTACCCCCTCTCTCCCTTTCTCTCGTTATTAACCCCAAAATTGTGGTCGAGAATCTTGATCGCCGATAGCGAGCCTTTTCGAATGAAGGAAGATGCGACGATAACGACCGTAATTGAGCTTTCGTGAGGCTCGAATTATAACGTTGGTACATTCGAAATATTGAAAAGAGAGAGAAAGAGAGAGAGAAAATTTGCTTGATATTTAAATTCATTCATTCTATCCTATCAGCCCGATCATATCCATTAAAATTGTATAATCGAATGATAACGAAAAATTTCGAAAGCGAGGTCTAGTAATAGTCGGTCATAGGATCGAACGCAAGGCGAATTGAGAACCCTCGTCGCGAGGTCACGAAAGGCTGACATAGGCCATACGATAGCCAACACGCATTCCGTTTCATTCATGCTTCTTGATCTGCCCCCTCCTCCCACAGTTCCCTCCCACCCTCCATCACTCCTAGTGCACCTACTGGCCATCCCCTTCCACCGTACTTCACCACCACCTGGAACCGCCCCCGGGGTACTTGCGGATACGTAGCAGAGCGCGAGCCCTCGTGAACGACGAACCGCATTTTTTCCCCTTTCACGACAAATAACTCGATATCCCTCCCGCGCGAAGAGATCGAGAGAGATCGCCGCTTTTCCTCGCTTTTACCCCTACGAAAAAAAAAAAGAAACCTTTTGGTATTAGTATATGACTGAGAAAGACTTTTTAGGCTCCTCCAGTGGGAGAGTACCACCAAGTGTGTCATACTTCTTGTCTATTTTTTCTCATCCCTTCCCCTCCCTTCTCTTCCTCCTCCTCCTTATCTTCCTCATCGATAAGCTACCAACCAAGTCGCACTCTCGAGTCGACGATGACGAGTCGTTTTTCGTCGGACCGCAAAGTACACGGAAGGTGTAGGCATACGAAACCGCAAAAACCGCAGGATCCGCCGTCGTTAAGTCGTCCTCGCGTGTTCCACGGTGTAACGTAGTCGATTTCTGCGTTTCGCGTGCCTCCTTTCCGACTAATTTTTCAATCCTCTATCGTCGAACTGTTGTTATACGTCCTTAAAGTAATATTTCAAAAGAGGAAGATCGAATAAAACCTACGTAGACAAGGACGTTTAAGGAAGAACGGACTTTAAGAA